AAATTTTCAGGAAACCATCAAAGTTAATTAAGTCGCGAGTGAGACAGTGACATAAGTATAGACCAGAAGGTTCAGTGTTATATCTTATTGTGTATACTGCCAATAGTCCTATACATGAATTAGATATTTCGTCAAGTCACTTCCCAATAATTATTCATACTACTTCAATTTATGATGAAACTACTGTTGAAATTAAACTGATCTCGAAGCACTTATGTCGATATGCTTTTGTACATAAAATCTAAATTTTTCAACTTTTGTTACTTACTATGTCAAAAGTTTAATTATGACATAGCTCATCTATGATATAACTGGATTGAAAACACTGAGATATATTTAGATAGATACAACTAATGATAACTATGAGGGTCTTCTTGTCTGAACTGGATTTAATTAGCACTCACTATCCCCAACTAATTCTTGCTTACTTCTGGTTGGTATCCCGTCAGTTTCAGATTGTTTCACTGACACCAAGCGTTTTGCCGCCAGTGATTCGGACGAGTTAAGATGGGTCCCATCAGCTACTCAAAGCAGCTGTTGCTTCCAAATCGTTAGCACGCTCCAACCACTAGGCTTCTTGGTCCTTACGCATGCTTTGCACAATTCGATTACGTATCGCTCTTCGTTTATGGTCAAACTTGCAGTCACTGGGAGTAAACTAACGTGTTTCAATGAGTTGTAGGGAGACTGTAAAACCCACTGTTTATAAACCGGACGTTTTTTGAAGCTGCAAACGACTTTACTGACCATTTTCATGGTGTCATGCAATTATAGCCAATGCTTATCCTTACTTTTCAGTGGGTTGATAGCTAGCTATGAACCTAGCTCGGTTAGATATTTAGTTTCAACAGAAGCTGCAACCAATTTACTGACATCGATACGTTTAGGGCCAGAAATTTGTTGGCCACTGAAACGTAAAATAAAATTAGTTCAAACAAGGGCATCGTCAGAGTCCATATTTGTACTCCATAAAGAGCTGAAGACTTTTACACAGCCACATCAGCAGTAGCTGATCGCGATATGATCAGTCTGAGTCCAGGTTTGATATCCAGAGGGACGACTCCAGGTAGCGTATCGGCGATGACTATGCCAAAAGTTAGTGCTAACCAGAAACAGGTCGTAGTCTGCTCTAAGTTATGGTAGACAGTCACCGTTATCTGATCTGCCACCAATAAGTCCCCATCGGTCACCTAAACAACTCTTTTCTGTACCCAGACGTCGGAATTGAGCAATAAAGTCGCCTGCTAGCACTACAATATCTGTTGAACAGTTAACTGGTGTTAAAGCTTATCCTTGATCGCATCCGGGATGCAAACTGTCGGAGTGTAGGCGTTGACAAAAAGATATCGTTCTTTATACCCGTTTCTTCGTACCCTGATGGAACTTTCCAAACTAACAGCACATAACTGACTGTTGATGGAGATCAAATCGATCAGTGATGCCTCAGCTCTAGCGCTTAGTGTGAAACCAACGCCAGCAAAACGGGACAAAAACATCACAGGATTCTAAACAAACGCAGGTGAAACAATCTTTACGAAGCGATAGATGGAGAGCAAATTCGTAGTACTTCATTGGAGTCTTGAATACTGGTCTAAGATAGACAACTGAAATCGATATTGAGACTTTCTAAAGACATAACCAATCCTATCAATTGTCCAATCTGCATTAGTGTGAGAACGTTGAAGGAGGCCAGTTTAAATGGTACAGTGGTCTCAGAAAGGCTGATTCAGTATTCGTAGTTGGCATTAACATTCACCTTTTGACTAGTTAGTCCTTTGTGCAGGGCACGGCTTCCACCATAGGCGAACTGCTGTATATTCTAGAAAGTAAACGAATACCCACAATGAGAATAAAATGGAACGGACAAGTTACTTTATTTAAAAAATAAAAATGGATGTTACCAAATGAATTTGAATGTGATTAGTGTGAACGCAAAGTTAAGCGAGAATAGTTTTTTCCAGTTGTAATGATCATTCGATTTGTGCGTAGCTCGGTTGATGCTCAAGCGCCCAAACCGAAGCAGGTGGTTTATTTAGAAGGTTACTCCTCGAACCTTTTATCTAGTGGTGTAATTCACAAGGCGATGGAGTCAGTGACCATTAGTTTCCTCACGATCCTGGAGCTTATGTGCACCATTGGTTTGGCATAGGGCTTTTCCAACCCCCTTATGTGAATCCCCCATACCCACCAACTCGGTTAAAGTGCCGGACATTAGCTTTACGTTCTCAAAATTTCGTAAACAACACTTCCATCGCAAGGTGGCGAGTACGACTCCCCTGCTAGGCCGGGTGAGAGCATTTTGAGGAGAATGGACACCCCTCACACTCGTCTGTACAAAAGCACTTGGTAGCGAATCGGCGTGTGTCGGCCGAGAATCCAATCCGAACCTCCCAAGTGGCAAGCGAGCATTCTACCACGGAAAGATCATAGGACTACTCAAAATTTGATTAGTTATTCAATGAACACTTATTGCGATAGAGGTTAGTTTATTTGCACAGCAGCTGCTCCCTGATGTTAATACCGATGTCAAAGATGCAATCGCACCAACCTATTACGTAATAACATTTATTTACCAAGACCATTTTCTGAGAACAGTTTAGTAAAGGAGATTCTAATGTCAATAATTGAAACACAATACTAAATTACAAGAAATGATTTAGAAGAATTAAATTGTCAAGGCATTACCAACAGTTACTACTAAAATTCAAAGATCGATAATAAAAACCCAACCTGACTGATAGAAGTATTAGAAAAGTTTACATGATGTTTTATTCTCTGTTGAACCACCCTTTCAAATAAGCTTCCATTTTTATAAAACTAAGTTTAAGTCATAATTGATTAGACTTTCCAACAAAATGAGATGAAAAATTGAACTTATTTGTAATGCGAAATTCTGTTCTTATTAAGACCTGATTTACGTAAACTAGTATTCACGTGCTTTTTCAGACGGTACTGAACCGTTTTATCGATCTACGTTTTTCTACTGGTTGAAGATTAATGTTTAAATGCTAGATAGAATGGATTCAATTAATTTTCTGCTTTGCATTCATGATAATGTAAGTAGAAAATTTAAATAGATTCTGCATAGTATTTGCAGATGATAGATACTTTATTTATCCTTTAAAATTGTTATAAATTCGGGGCTCGTGATATTAACTTAATCACGTTATAGATTATTTAAAATGTATGCTTTCATCTTTTTCATTCTAAAATGTAAGTACAGAAGATAACGTTTTTGAACTCCCGCTTTTCGTCACTACATTGAAAAGCATTTCAAATTATTCAACTGATAGTATATTTCAACAAAAACACGATATATATTAGTGTAACTCGGCATATTTAAATAAATACTGCTGTTTATAAATCAAATTTTCGGCCGTAATCCTTTTTTCTTGATTATTCATTTATTATAGGCTACGTTGAATTACTGTCCAGTTTTATCAGTATACACTGCACATTCTCTGAAGAAAGGCGCATATGATTTAAGTCTCAGTTAAATTTATGTTAGTCTTCACCATGATGATGGTTTAGAGATGTTATATTCCTAATTTGCCTGAATATTATGTGAGTTATTCGGCTGAAGTGCTTCACATTCATAATTTCTTTGTCCAGTAAATGTGAATAAAAAATGTTGTGCCCATAAACTCTTGCTTTTCTTATTGCTTAAAATCTTTCGGCTCCTCAAAAACAGAAAATTAGGAATTAAGAACATTATTTACTAGACAATTGATTTAAAACCAACACCTTTTATATCAAACTAGTAAATTTTTTTACCAGTTTCGAATATGCTGTTATTGATCAATAAAACGGGATTGACGAGTCTCTATCGGCTAATCAGCTTGTGTACTACAATCTCTATACTGTAAGTTTTACTTACCAAAGGTGTCCAAACTTCTAATAGTTAACCTTTTCGTTTGCAAATAAGCTTAGCATATGAAAACTTCAAATGTATTCTTTTTCTATGCATAAACAGTTGTAACATAAAACTTAGAGATTATGTTATTCAAGTTAAAGTTAACTTGAAAACTTTCACTCAATTTTAATTTATCTAGTTAGACTAACTAAACTTCTATTCCCTTGTTTGTCATCTTTATTTTAAAATCAAAACACCAATTTATGATTGAGATCATGAATCGACTGATGTTAGACCACCATTGAAAACCTGGAAGCACTGGACGGCCGTTTCGTTCTATTGTGGGACTCCTCAGCAGTGCGCATCCACGATCCCGCTCGCGGGATTCAAACCCAGGACCTTCAGTCTCGCGTGCGAACGCTTAACTTACTGGACCACTGAGCCGGCATCCAACGGTGTTAATGTCTAACCTCAACCAATCCACGAAGTTGCGCGATCAACCAATTTATGAACACAATGTACTAAACGAGCACAGATATAGTGGTGATCAATGAATAATATAAAAAATAAGCCCAGATTTGAAGACATCAATCTAGAATACATAAATAATTCGTTTATTCATTCTTTTTTTTGGAAACATTTAGTATAAAAGCTTACAATGTACTATACATAACAAAAATAAATAACATAAGATAAGATCCTTATTTAAACAGATATTCATTCTTTTTGTCAAGAGAGAAATGTAGACTGATTATATAAGTGTAGTTATAGAAAAAAAACATTGATTTATGTTGGGACTGAGACATTGAATGAAGACATGATATACATGTATTTGTGTCTATATTGTGTAGTATGATCTTATTCATATTTATAGATAAAAGCTACTAATGATATAAATACTCATAATTTGGTAAAAAATAATAACCACCTTTCAACATAGTAACCTATTTTTTATGATGAGAAGATAAACAACAACACCGAAAATACAAATATATCTATACAAAATAAAGAAATTAAGAACTATCTTTAGAAATAAATTTGAAAAAAAAACAATAAATAAATGGAAATGGGAATATCTCGTATCTGAGATTACTTATTGCATATACAATTATAGTGTGCTTCCTCTTAAGTTACTTTATTATTATTATTATGGCTCTGAATGTGTTATAATTGAATGATTAGTTGGAGAGTTCGAATTATTTGAGGCCAGATATCGATGAGCTGTCTCTTCATATACTTCATTTTCATTACCATGATAAACTCCAACTTCATAGGCAACTACAGTTGCATGATCTAATTTACCAGGCATACGTCTAAGCATATCATTAAACCATTTTCTTTGTGAATCAGTTGAAAAAGTATTATCAAAGTGTTTATTATTATTATTATTAGTGTTTTGTACTACAGTTTGATTTTGTCTAAGATGTGCATAATCCGGATTCTCTAACCATTCACGTCGTTTCGTCGTAATTCTGTATGCATGATTAATTAGTGCTTCACATAAATCTTTGGAACTAAAAGTACCATTTTTACTACTAGCATTCTCTGTACTAATATCTAATTCATGCCACACACGTTCTAATTCTTTCGCTGCATATTTTCTACGTTCATACCAGTTTAATTCAAGTTGATTGGTGAAGTTAATTTGATGTGCATATATTGTCTCAGTTTCATTGTTATCATTAGTATTATTATTACTATTATTGATATTATTATTATTACTGTTAGCAGTATTGATATTTGTAACGGGTATATAAGTTAATTTTGTTGGATCACTTGGTGGGGGTGGGGGTTGTGGCCAAATACTTACTCGAGGTGGTGGTGTTAAAGGAGAATTATGTAGCAATGATTTTGATGAACGACATAGTGATGAAGTTGGGGATTTATTAAAATTACACCTTAAGGAATCTGAAGATAAAGATGAAGTACTTTTGACAGAATTTTTGTTGTCGTTATTGTTTACTTCGTGAATACCTATATCATCAATGGATGAGCTTTCCTCCTCATCACCTTCTTGTCCTTCGTGTTCACCTTCTTCATCAACAAAATCTAAATGCGGTGATTCAGGAACAGCTAGTTGTGTAATAACTGGATCGAAATTATCGATTAGTCCATCTGATCCAAGTAGAACTATATCACCTGGATCACAAAGTGTTACTAAAATAAAATCAAGCAATAAAAAGATATTTTTTAGAGTGATAGTAAACAATTGACAAATTACTATTTTTTAAATTGGAATATCACATTACATTCAGTTATGTCTTTCTCGAAAACTTAATAATGTGTACAGTTAAAGAGCTAGCTACTACTGTGTATAAAGGACGAACTTTAATCCTACTAGAAAAATATAATAGAATGAAATATGTATTAATGAAAATAAGTCAAATTTTCGTTTCTAATCATGTTATTCTTCGCAACCTTAAGCAGTTTGTATCTGATGATAGACCTTGAAATAGAATGACCAATTCAATTTATCCTTCAAATCTTTTTTCAGTTTACTTTCATTTTACTTTAAATTTATCAAAGGATCAAGTATGTTTCCATAGTACTGAGTAGAGTTTACCAAAAACGAATACGACAAGGATAAGTAAAACCTATCACTCAGTAAAAATCAAGAGTATGACAACTATAATTTACTCCAGAAGCGACAAAATTTTATAAAATCAATATTTTTATTAAGAAAAGATACTTGTACTTTTTCAAAAAGAAATCTAACTATGTTTTTAAACCACTGAACTAGTTTAAAAGTGAACACTCGTTACTAGACTTGGAGGTCATTGTTTCAATCCCCAGTGTAGTTGTGAATGTGTGCCGCTAAGGAGTCCTTTCAAGTGCTTGTATAGTTTAGATTAGTGCCTGATCTGAATAACATTCAGTAATATTCGCATATTCTCGATGATGATTTTATTGCTGTGAGATAAAGAAATCAAGAAATTTTAGTACTCCATATTTTACTCGGACTTATAACAGGAAATCAGTCATTGATCAAAAACACTTTTTATAGTGTTTTTAGTTAAGATAATTACCACACAGAACTTCGTCCCTAACTGGCATTACTTATATCGCAAAAAGGTTAGGGTCTGTTATCAAGAGTTTGACTGGAGTTGTGAGTTAGGTTTACAAAATAGGTTTAGCGTTTTCGACACGAACTGACATCAGTTGTAATGCAATGCCTTGCCACTTTCCTCTATACAAACTCGAAAAACTTTGGGTTGAGATTTAGAGTGAGAGTAAGGAAGGAAGAATATTATCTAGATTCACCAAACACTGAGTGACATTAGGTACTTTAGAACACAATCTGCCTAACATGTCATGTAATTTCGCTTAAGCACAATCCAAAATTCTTTTTTTAGGTTACATGGCAGACATTTTTATTCCAAGCATTTTAGGAACCAAACATCCCCGATTTTTACTTGGTCAGTGGTAACACACAGGTTATTTACCACTACACTTTAATCTTCGGGCAAAATACATGAGTCGTTATCTGGATTTTGATTGGTTGTCTCATGGCCGCCAGTATATCGTACTTTTACATAATAGGCTTCGAATAACAATCAAACCAGGGTAGTAACAGTGAGATTTCAATTATATGATGAACCAGTCGCTTGGTGGTTAAGACGTTCGACTTTCAACTTCTAGGTCACTGATTTGAGTTCATTTCCGCCTATTTCTGTTTGGGTCCCCGGTTATTATCACACTGGCCACCACAAGTTTGATTCAAAGCTGACTACACGAATTTGTACTTAATAAATTGTATGACCCACGATATAATAAAGGGTCAAGCTTGAAATAACTCAACAAATTTTAGCCTGTTGTTAGCATATCAAAAAACAATTATTGTAAATGAATAATATTCATTGAAAAAAAAAACAACCATATTCCATAGGATACCCAGATTTTACGTTGTCCATGAAAAAAGGCTTGCCCGTTTGCTACAGTTTAACTACTAGTTCAATTATTTAGTATGCTAATATTTGGAGATGATTTGAAGACTGTTTCAATCCTAGATTTTTATTATTTGTAGAACTATTGAAATTCAAGGGGTACTGGAGGGTTGTTTCATTTTAGCTCTAGACTTTCTAACAAGGGAAAGAACTCAGAAATTTCAGACATGACTGGAGGAACGATACATTTTAAGAATCCAACGATCCACATTTCCAAATTTAGTCATATATTTCATTGACAGTACACTCACATCAAAATTTTCTCAACACAAAAATCATATCCATAAGAAATTTCGTCTAAATTTGTACGAATAGTTTCACAGTAATCGGGTTCTGAGTTAATGTAAAACACTAAGGAGGGAAATACATTTGTAAAAGTCTTATCAATAAGACTTTAAGTAAATCCAACGTTTAACTTGGCAATCTGGTCCAAGCTTCTACAAGAAAATACAACCAGACATTAAAATTATCGAATATACATGGTTTAATAGTTGACTGTATACTAAAATGTCATCCCATCATGTTAGTAATGTTGAAAGTGAGATTTGCCATAGTGCGTATGAGACATTTGGTGTGAAAAGCGGAGTGTTGACAATAACAATAGCATTCATTTGTATTGGTGTATTGATGCCTAAGACTGCAAATGATCAGTCTCTTTAAACATATGTGCATCCTGGGAGGATTGCCTCAATATTACCGTTAAGTCACAAGCATTATAAGCAGAGATAGATGGTCCCAAATAGATCGAAACGTGAGTCCTGGATTTCACTGCTAACCACCACCTATCTCGAGCAGTTTTATGTTTGTGTAAGTAGATCTGATGCAAGAAAAATTCATTAACTATATATGTCCCTGAAGTAGAGATTTTTGATAAAATCAGATAATTTGATAGGTGAAATGGAACAAACACGTCAAAGCATGCATAAAATGAAGTTAACTAAACAAATAAATGTTTGTGCTAATGTGCTGACCAAGCCTATTGTTCATCATATATTCAGATAAACGAAATAATTAGAACAAATGGAAGTAACTGTTGTTGTTCACACAATAAGCAATAGATTAAATGAAGTGAAAGTTATTAAGGAGTTCAGATTCACTTATTAATCGTTATTTACCATACAATAGGTTATTATATTCCATTTCTCCTATTAGTATTGTTTGGATTCGCCCATACCTATTGAAGTTCAGCAGTTAATCTCTCTTTGTATGAACTAAAATGTTTTTGTAGGATTCCTATGTCATTATAACCGATAGTATGGCCAGACTCTATTGAATATACAATGTTACCACTGAATTGTTTTCCACAGTTTTTCCTCATCAAAGGTATTATACGCACTTCAAGATATCTCGCTTTCAACATTGTTTACAGATTGCCAGACGAAACGTCGGATTGACTTACAGTTCAATCAATGAGATTCCCAAAAATTTAATTTTCCTCTAAAAATTCCAAGAGTTATATAATTTATAGCAAGCAACAGCACCTTAATATCCAAATGATTAACAGAGAATCCCAGTGGAATAAGATTAAATTAGTCGATAGATTAGAACTATGTCACGTAAACAAAGAATATTAATATTAGCTCGAAAGAGGTAATAAACTGGAAGTATGCCTAATGCAAATAATCCATGAGATGAATAAATCATCTTTGAATTATCGATTAAAAAAGCACAACACACCGCATATACATACATATACATGCACGGTACACATGTTTCACTGGCCATAATAAAATCATATTTTCTCCATCAATCAATGACTAAGCTTATAGTAATTTTTTTAAAGTAAAGAACATAGACAGTGAAAAGGAATAATGAATAAGTCACTACAAGTATTGTGTGTGCTGTTTATATTTACATAATGACACTGAACGCTATAGTTACAAACAAAAATAACATTTATCAAGTTGATAAAAAAGTTTTCAATCATCATGAACGTCGAACTGACTAGTAAAAACCATTGAAGTAAGTTTTTTTACTTAATTGTCTGTACAAGTAAAAGGAGAGGAAAATTTATAAGTGTGTGAACTAGAATAGTTAATAGTTGGGAGAAAAAAAGGAAGAAAAAATTTTGAATTATCCAAAAAAACAATTCCTACAGTAAGAGAAGTTTAGAACTATGTTAATTAGTAGAAAAAAAGAAATGCAGTTTATAAAAAACGTTAAATAATTCGTTGAAAATTTGAAATCGAATTAAGTAAATTGAAAGTAGATTTTAGAAGGTAAGCAAATGGTAAAACTTTTCAAAAACTTTTCAGCTACCTGTTAGTTCACATATAAAATTATAACCAGTGATAAATACCGTATTTAAAAGACATGATCAAAAAGAGGTTGTAAGCTTGTAATTGTTATGAGTTGCAGGACAAAAAAAATTATCTGTAATAGATGAGGTTATACATTATATCTGTGTCGATATAGAAAGCAGAGGTTTATCACACTTTCTTTCTGTGTACATAAGCCAGGTCAAAAGAGCTTGATGACAATGGTATCTCCAAAGAGGACTAAATGGGAAGTTCTCTACTAATTAATTTGAATGTCTTTATAGTATCCATCTTATCTCTACTATCTATTGAGTGTTTAATGATAGAACTTATGAACACTCTTATTCCCTTGATAAATTGGTTTCGAAGGGAAAATTGAAAAAATGTTATTTCGGTCTTCTCGATGTGCTTAGTACTACAAGTGCGTTCAAGTCCATAGCTGTTAATGGAGATCATCACAGAAGGGTATTGATTCAATTTTTATTCAATTAAATAGCATTCCAAGTTATAGACTGCAGAAAGCAGAGATTCAGAGAAGCTTTTTCTAAGTCGCTGCAATTCTTTTATCAATTTTAACTGGAATCTCTTCTCCATTGAATGTAAGTCATATAAAGACGGAAAATTTTTATAGACTCTAAATGAAGGTCGGACGTAAAACGTTAGTCTTGAGATCGTTATAAGTTATGTAATTTCTTCTGTTGAACCTCTTTGAGTTGTTTATAAACTCAAATTATTATAGTTTCGAATCTCAATACTTCATTTAAAACTTCGATTATTATATATATAACGAACACGCTATGATCATTACAGAAACTGTTTAAAAAAACGTATAAGGTAGCTAGTAGCCACACCAATCGTAAATAGTAAAAGCAACCAAAATTAAAGAACAATACTACTACAATGAAGTGCTATGACAGCGTAGTTTCAAATGTGAAACTAACTCTTTTGATAGCGTATTGAATCGTTTTAAACAACGTCAGGTGGTTTACAACTAAACTAACATCTTCATTGGTAAATCTATAACATTATTCGAAAAATATTTCTATATATACTAGTTGCTAAAAGAAATGCCTAAATTCATTTGCGAAATTATCTTCACTTTTTTTCCACATAAATATAATTGTAATTTGATTTAGAAAATGATATGTTCGTCAAACATATTTGTAATTATGAATCCTTCATTTGACAAGTTATATGAAGGCCAATTTTTAGTATAAAACTTTAGTTATTGAATTATGTAATACAAACAAGAATTTACATTTTAATAATTTTCATCGTGTCAGTCGTAGAGAGATAAAGTGAATCTTAGAAAGAGAGACCTTGGTTACAATCAAATTGATCCTATTTGTCAGTATTATATATTAAAATTACGAATTAATCCATTGTACTCAATCGAAGATCTGGAACTAACGTTTATTCGACCAAAGTTGCCAAAATTTAGATCAGAAGCAAAATAGAAACTCGTCAAGATAAAAGCTAAGCAAAGAAGGAACGAATTGAGCGAAGAAATTTCTTTTCAATTAATTTTTATCATGGCTCTACACTAATATATATATATATATATATATATATATATATATATATATATATATATATATAATGTTTTACAATAATGATATAATACTCCTCGAGTGGATACGTTACGTAATAATTACATAATTGTTGGGATGGTCCAGAAAAATTCTCGCAAAAGACACACAAGGATCAGGAGACGTTAAGAAGCATTTCATACAGTCAGCGTTCACTTGTAGTTTAGACAGAAAACATCAAGGATGTGAAACGTCACATGTAGAGGTCCTGATTGACTGATTGTTATACTGCTACTATGTTTAGTAGCATTCCAGAATCTTCGAGCAACCCAAGGACATTTAGAATATTATAAAAACCCTATGTTTTCTGTATTAAAATGAATCTTTGAGTATAGTACTTTTCGCATACTTTGCACCTTCTCTCTCGTGTTCAGGTCGCTGTGTAGTTCTAGCTTGGGGGTTACAACAATAGCTTAGGAATCGAGTATAGCGTTCAAATTGCAAGACTTATCAATAGTGACATTTAAGTTAACATTGAGTAATTGGAATAAGGATGATTATTAATATTCAAAGTAATTATTAAATGAAGAAGTTGCTACGTTGCATAACATATGACAAAGAGAAGGAACAGAATTTTTAATGGATGGTCAATAAAATAGTAGCCACATAAGAATCAAGAGATGAATGTTGAGAAATTATAAAGTTCAAAAAACAACAAAAACAAAATTAAAATTAAAAAAAAACCAAATGTAAGAAGTATGGAAAATAGTTCTGTTGAAGGGAATCTTATACCGATGGCCAAGGCAGCAAAGTGGTTGAACAAATTTCTTTTGAATACAAAGGTCAGGTTTGTGAACATGGATTGCGATGGCTTCCGGAATGTGCAAAAGGCGCACTCGTAAACCATGTGGTAAATTTGATGGGATATGGTAGATAAGCTTAAAAGCTTTATTCAATTAGACATGATGACCTGTATCAACCAAGTGAGCGAGAATAGAACGTTTGTAGGTTTATTATTATATGATGCTTTTGACATAATTTATGATAAGATTTTCATATTAGAATATTATAAAAACACAATAACTAATGGGTACTTACCAGCACATATAAGATTGTTTAATTCTGGATTGCCATTTTTATACACAGCACCCAATGCACCACCAGTATCTCGAAAATCCCGTGTAGGTGGTCCAAGTATTTTCTCCAATTTATTTTGTTCATTTGATTGTGTTGATAAATTATCAGATGACAAGACAGATGTTCTTACCCAACCGGTTATTTCACGTATACCATGGAATTTGCTTAAAAGAAATGCTTGACAATCACCAACGCTTGCTATTATAACAGAAAATTGAGATTTGCCGTATGCTGAAGCTTGTTCATCTGTTATTCTATGTGATTCATAGGTTGTAGTTGTTAGTACTGGTAAAATGAGTGCAACACAGAGAGTAGTAAGACCAGTGGTAACGGAAACAATTTCCTCTTGGGCAAAAGAAAACGCTTCAAATAATAATTGGGCCGCATCCTGTAATGCAATCACAATAAGAAAAGTGAACACATTAACAGTGAAAGTGAACTAGATACTATTTATAAGTAAGGATTTGAATAATTTCCTTGTTGTCTAGATCTAAATTCCAACCAGTCTTTGTCGACATACGTGGATCCTGTGTGTATTTCTATGATATAACTATTTAATAATCTATTTCAGTTAAGACTGATCAGCTTGATAAACGTGTTGATGGTTACATCGAGGCTCGAACACAGCATCGTTCACGCTAAACGTGAATCCTACTAAAAATTTAACCAGTTTACAATATGCCTCTGCAATATGTAAATAAAATAAGTATTTAACCGGTTTGTTCAAAAAAACAAATGTGGTTTACCTCCTTGAAAATAAAAAGTTAACCAGAAACTTTCACCGTAATATTATTCGACAACTAAAACCCCTTTATTTCTTGTGCAATTTCTAGGTTTTTGTCTTAGAATTAATAATCATCAACCTGTAGACATTATCTAGCCTTAAATAAAGGTAGCTCAAAGCATATACCAATCCATTGTTAAGTCACTTTCGGTTAAAAATGTGACTTCCATACGACCTTGATTTTCTCAAGGGTTACAGAAACACTATGATAGTGAGCTTTCAAAGAAACGTGAAATCTAAGTTGTGAAGTATTTATATGTTGTTTTAGTAACAGAAAATTAGAACGCTATGTTTTGTGCTTCATTTTCAACCTATCTATTATCACTACTGATACTGAATATGACCTGTCATCACTTAAATAAGACAGCACATAAAAATCTCTTCAGCTGTTCGAATTGTAAACTGTTTCCCAGTATTAATGAACAACGTTTGTGGAAGAATACAGTGATCTTCTGGTTTTCCGCGAAATGTATTTTATTTAATTGCATTTCTTTCATTAACCGGATTTCTCAAGTTGTATATTATCGACAAAAAGTAGTGTTTATATTTTAACTCGAGACTACATATGTCAATATCTTTAAACGATTTATGTACACTTAAACGTGTAAATAATAAATCTCAATAAATATTTCTGTACTCATAATACTGAAACTGTTATACATATTGATTTTAAATAAATAACACAAATTCTTACTCTTGTGTCTTTAACGTTGTGTTTCTCTTTCATATAACCAAATAGATGAGATTCTAAATAGGTGTAAATAGCTGAAATTGCCGATCTAGCAGCTTTCATTGATTCGTTGCCCCAATTTACCCCATCAGCTACAGCTAAATAGGCAGAATCATGTCGAGCTCGTACAACGAATGCATCAGCAATTGGACCACCTAGAAATTAAATAAAACATATTTATTAACAAATATTTATGAAGTTTGACAAATTTAACTACTATGGGGAGTGAAATGCCAGTGAACAAAAAATATTTTTCTTTTAAGAATATAGTCGGTAAAAATTACCTGTTGCAGTCCAACGATACGGATAAGATAGGAAGAGTTAAGAAAAATAAACAAACAGAAATTTTGTCCGAATTACGTCCTCTGTGTTAGGAGATTTGTTTGTAAAGCTTTCATCGTCATTGTAAACAATATCAGTGCTTACAATATATGGAAATCTTCTACAAATCTTCTCCATACATAAATTTTTGAAATCAATGGGCTGATATACTATTGATGACCCGTCTGGTGTCAATCAGTATAAGTAAATATGGATGAAGCAACCAACCAGAAATAATAAATTAAAAACTTGAAGTTTTAGAACTGAAACGATTTAGAAGAATGGAGTTAAAATATCTTCCAATAATTACCGGTCGCTTAGCCTGTTATTTGAACTACTGTATCTAGTAAATAGAGTTTTTAATTGCAGCTAATTGATGTTCCTTGGGATTTAAACTTTGCCAGGAATATGAGTAACATTGTAGAGTTAGGGGTTAGTTCTAATAACTACACTTTTTCGTTACACATCCAAGCAGTTTTCTGTCACATTAATAAGTATTTTAAATTAATCTTAATTCACTAAATAATTTCAATGACGAGTTGTTAGCTTATACATTTGAAGTGTGGTGGGTTAGTGATTAAAGTATTTAAAATTCAGCCACTAAGTCCCAGGTTTGAACCCTGTTCCATCTTCTTCGGTTTAGGTAACTGAGTAGTATCATTACCACTAGCACTTAGAGTATGAATCACACACTTGAGCACTTCATGAATGAGCTTATTTAAGTTCTAAACATGCTGTTTACTGTAAAATTAATTATTCCATTTACCATTGGTTTGATAAATTAATAGTCATGGTGTAAACAGTTTTTTAATTGATCAGAAATATTTAGCCTTTTAAGCTTAAAATATATTATCAGAGTAGAGGTTTGTGGAGATTGTAGTAATTTCATGGTTGAATCAACACAACCCCCCATTCTGATAATCATCACATGCTCACTAGTCACTGGCTTCAAGATGTATTTCCAGGAGTTCTAACGAGAAGCCATGACCAGTTGAGTTCAACCGTGTCTGTTGTAAGGCAGTTAGTTACTGAAGACAATAGTGAACGGTCGCGCAATATCGTGGATTTGTTGAAGTTAGACATTAACACCATGGGATACCGGCCAGCTCAGTGGTTTAGAGGTTAAGTGTTCACGCGCGAGACTGAAGCTCTTGGGTTCGAATCCCGCGTGCGGGATCGTGGATACACACTGCTGAGGAGTCTCACAGTAGGACGAAACGATCGTCCAGTGCTTTCAGGTTTTCACCCATGGTCTTGCTTAAATCGACTCATGAATTCAACCATTGAATTATTTAAAGTATATGTCAGACCTTACTTAAGCATTTAGTAACTTGATGAGAAATCCATTTCAACAATGAACATTTAATGCTACTGAGTTGCAAGATCTGTGTATGTGTGTTTTGTTGTGGAGTGTAACTAAGCGATTAAATTTGCACACTACGTAAGACGAAACTAGCCTACCTCTAGAAGATAGTAAATATGTACTGAAACGGCGACGTGCTGATAAACAAGTGTAAGAAAATAAACAAAATAAATTTGGCACCAAAAACATAGGTAGTCAACAATGCAGGTGTACTAAACGAAAATCAAACTTCATACAACACGTTGATGTTTGTTTAATAACATGAAAATACAGGAAAATAGAGAAAAATCGGTTAAGCGTATTAAAAATGATTGTGTCCCTTGAGTTTAAAAGCTAGGTACATATTACCACTTCCTGAACCGCTGAATTGTATGTTAATAATCCAATAAGCCCGCTAATTTTCAACATAAATGGAACAAAAGGCTTTACAGACAAAATATACAGAAGTTTTAAGTTACTCAGGTACTAACTTGGATAAAATCCAACTTTTCAATTAGAATAAGACACTCGTTCCTAAGTTTTATTATATTTTATGTTGAACTGAAGCCGATTAGCAGTATGACATTCTCTGATGAATCTTGTTTGTCAGATTGTTAGGAGTAATCTAAATAGGCTTTTAATTGAGTTTCAGAAGCAGAAGGCTAAACATAGCTAATATTAATGCACGAAGAATACCAACAGATTTAAGTTTACAAGCACAAATGGATGATGGCTAGCAGTGAAATCCAGGGCGCGTGTTTCGTCTTATGTAAGACTCGTCAGCTGAATGTGCCTGCATCCCAGAGTTCATGTTTGAAAATTAATTAAGAACAAACAGACGTTTCCTGGATCCCTATTCAAATATAGCTGGATGATCAGTCAATTAAATACAAATTATGATAAAAAAAGCATTGATTAATTATTGTTAAAAAAATCACAAATAGCAAAGTGAATAATTTAAGAAGAATGACCATTTTTGATACACACATAATGTATAACGGAAAACTTAGTTGACCTGAAGTATTTATTTATAATAAACTAACAAACTGATAAGCAAACCCCCGTTGTGTTTTAAAACGATCTGACCTTAGTACTAATAATAGTAAACACGAGAAAGTTTTTGAGATACATCAATACTAAGAATCCCTTCTCAGTACTCAATAAAAAATAGAACAACCATAATAATTATGATTCAGTGACATTGTTGGTATGAAATGTCTTCATCTTATTTTTATTGTCATAATGAAATACTGAATTGAGCATTAAAATAATAAACTTTTTAATGACTTTCTCTAAAGACAGTATCTAGGGATTAACGGTGAGACATATGGCGACTCAAAATCTCCCCGCTATCTGCTTCTAGTTTCTATTCCAAGACTGTCCTTATCTGGAGTTAATGTTATTTTTAGTTATTGTCCTTACTAAAAATGCATTTTGTGAGGTTATTGGGTCGTCGGGTCACCTATTTCTTGGTTATTCCCTTTTTCAGATCTCTACACTGGCGCTACTCTCAATGCACCCTTAGTACACAAAATATATCCTAGCTAGACGCAACCTGCTTACAGGCATCATATTATTATCTAGGAATGATAGTTTTCTCATAACCATACGACTATGGCATTAGTAATAACAGTACTCATAGCTAAATAAAGCTTTTTAATATAAACAGAAGTTAACTCTTAGCTAGTGTAAACTTTTACGATTGATTGGAAGTCCCTGGTTGATAAAGTAATTAATATGCACAGAAGTAACTATGAAGCATTAATTTATTGCGCAGAAATAATCTATGGATTTCGTAATCCATTTAAATTTCAAAAGTGAGCTAATATCTCAACGATACAAAAATAAAACACATGATTTAAAATATTTAACAGTAGACTGATGATTCAACTATTATAGCAACAATTAAAGTATTCTATATCCTCAATCTATGATTCACAACACTATACAGTTATATTAAGGTACCAAAATACCTAATCGTATGGAGCCTCTGTACAGTTAATTCCGATGTAAGCCTGAATAGAGAAAGAGTTGGGAATGGGGTTAGCGACCTCACCTCGTAAAAAAGAATCTCGACAACAAAACGCTAACCGGAAAAAATAATTTGAACCGAGGTACTTGTAAACGGTTTTCTGGAAATCGGCTTTCATTTTCATAAATAACGTGACCCCCTGTAAGCAAATGTCAGAGTTCTCAGACAATAAATGGTAAGGATAAGACTAAGAATCTTTACGATGCCTCAGTCAAAAATATTTTACGTACCATTTGGTTTTCCAGTGATTATGTTTTTCTCGTACAGAGAAACAGATATCCCATGGGCTTTTCGATTCTCTATTGTCTTCCAGTAGTTGGAATGGTCTGCAGAAAATCAAAAATGATATACATATGGCACCAAAATTATCTTTCAAGTAACATACAAGAAATAAATATAAGTTGGTATAGTAGATTGGTGTTTAAAAAATCTTTAACTGTCAGAAATCGCTTGAACTACATCTACATTTAATTATAAAGCTGTTCTTCACAATATCGAAAGTACTGATAATTTATGTACTCGTTAAAATCAGCCGCCTAAGTTTCACGCAAGCTGAAACTTATTTACATGAATATACTTTACTGTAACGTTCCGGTGGAGCTGATTTCAAATTTCTATATACCAAGTATCCCACTCGAAACTACTGACCTATTTTTCCAATTGTTGTTCTTTGAAGTTATATAGATACTGTACACAGTTATATTCATTAGTTTCAACTATTTTATCATGAAATACAAAGGTTAATCTACAAACAACTTTACATCTAGTCTCATGCTAGTAGTTCCTCCCTAGTTGTTTGAACCTCAGTATATGAAGTCTGTTGCTGAAGTACTTTATATATGATGAAAGTAAAAATGAAACTGGATAAGCGATTAAGTTTAACTTGCAGATTTTAATAACTCGAGATCAAACCTTTTTAATGCACAATTCGTTGAACAAATCTAATGAAAAATAGTTTGAACAGATTACAACTTTCGGTCTAACTAGTTTTCTACTAGAGCTTATAGCAATTTTCCTCTAAATTATATCACTGGAATCAAGGTATGGAGTTGAAGTTTTGCTCCAAAGTAATTTTCATCCTTTATTCATTTTGGCGTTTTGTGGCGAGCACAAAACGGATGCTAGTTCTATTACGAACGTTTGTATAATCAAATCTAAGAGCGCATGTATCATATTGGGAAAAACCTTTAATATTGTACAAATGTTTTAAGTTACTATGAGATACAACCACTACAAACACTTACAGACATTGTGGCTGTCCTTTGACCCATGCCACTTTTTCACCGCTAACAAGCCCTTTTTAGGGCCTGTAGAGGAGGCGAAGACTCTGTTAGACAAACTGTAAACAGGTATTGTAGGATAAACAGCTGCATTAGGTAACTCTTGAGGGCAAAGAGAACGCCAAACATCACATTTTGAAGCTGGATGGTGAAACTGATCTTCTAACTGATACAGCTTTGGAGCAATATACTGCCATTCCTGAGTATCCGAAATCGACCCTCTACCACGTCTCAAACCAAAAAAACTGTCCCGTAAACTCCATGATTTGGTTATTTTAGGTCTATGTGAATTCACAGAAAATTGACCAATGGATTTAGAGGACCTAAAGAGAGTTTTCAATAACTGATTACAACAACTCATAGATCATATTTAACTGACAATATGAAATTCATCCTCGCTAACTTCTCACTCACTCAAATACAGAAAGTCAACTACCTTATAGATTTCGTATCAACATGAGAAAATTTTGCTTCATGTTAAGGCTTCAAGCTAAATATTGGAGAAAATGGGTTTCACTAAAAGATTGTGTGATGACTTTATGTGGAATCCAAGTATTTACCAAACAAACAATAGATTTAATATACTTTGTAGTCTAATGAATATTGGCTGATGGGTATTAACTTGATGCTAAATTTCAACTGAATACGCTGATATTTGAGACAAAAATTACTTGTCTGTTTCGACGACAAAACAATTATCAGATTACGATGCGTTCTGTCTGAGACTCAAACGTTTATTCATGACCACATTCAGGCACAAAGATGAATGGCTAAAATATAGTGGCTGTTAAAAAATTATATGATCTACACCGATGAACGATCAAGAGTTGTGAGTTAACTCAGTTTTAGTTAAATCGAGACTTCGGATTAAGAACATGAAATACTAATAAATTTCGATCAAGCACAGTTCGCTTTGTACGAAACAGCTTGACTTTATAGGTATCAATGCCAAGGTTGTACTTGATATTTTCAGATAATATGAGCATTGGAAAGTAAATAATAAATATACTTTTTATCATAATAAGTAGAAAAATCGTATTTCTGACATTTTGTGATTTAATGTAAGCCACTTCTTCAGATCAAAGTGACTTACACTGAGTCACGAAGCGTCAGAAATACAATTTCTCTGCTTATTGGGATGTAACAAAAAATATATTCATTATGAATTAGCTTAACGATTTTAATAAAAAAATGGGTTAAAATATTGGTAATGTTGACAAGAAAACAGCCAAGCTCTGTGAAATTAGTATTTTACTTTTTAAAGCTGAATATTTTTTGTTTAGATAAGCTCTCTGATGCAAGCGTTATATGATAGGTTATAAACGAAGAGAAACACTCACATTTTATACAAAATCGTAAAGGTTCTTTAACTTCTCGAAGGAAGGAAATGATAAACTTAGAGAGACATGAAGTAAAAGTGTATTTAATACCGGCGTGAAAATATGCAAGTGAATATGTTTGTTCCAGTATAGTTATTGTAAAGTTTTGGCTTAAAAGCTTGAACCTGAAACCACTGAAGCTCTATCAACTCGTAGCTCTTGAATGACCTAGCACAGTTTGTGACTGTATTGGCGTGACTCATCTTTAGGTTTGAACATTCCAATACTAAACTCTACATACCACAAACGTTTGTGGCTATTTACGTTTAGTATATAATCCAGTCAAATTAGTTAACATACGTTTACAACAGTATTGATTACTTGGCATTCTGCTACATAATCATTATGCTATCCAATCAACACTTCAACATTAAGTTGAATAGATCACATTGTAAACATTTGTAAATTGGCCAGACTGTTTGTATTGAACGCGAACCCTTAAAAATATTACTTTTTAGCAAAGTAATGACGCAATACAACTCACAAATGTGACAGAAAGACCTTTGTTAATAGTGGTGTACTTAGGATGCGCAACTGTCATTGAAACAGATTGATTGAACACACAAATTTTTATCTACGGATTTAGTTCATAGAGGCAAAAGGGTGAAAAATCTAAGTGGGGAAAAACAAGTGAACAAACAAGGACTCCAACACATACAGGAAAGAGATACATAAACATAAATACAGCAAAATCGATTCGCTGAAATATGAAGACGTATGACAGAAGCGGATAAAGAGTGGTAAGAAACAGTTTATTTCCAATTCTACATTAAAATTCATTGGGATTTATAGTTTGGGATCTAGATTGGTAACCATAAGACAAATCACGAAGTAATTCATTGAACTCATTGTTGCCATGTACAGATGCAAATTAGGCCAGTTGATAAAAATGTATTCTAATTGTAGTGATACACAATAAATCAATCTTAAAAAAACGAAAACTAAATACGGAAGTGAGTTGCACGTCGAATAAAGTCATGTTATCACATCAAAGTGATATGCCGCGACAAACCTCATGAAAGGTTTCGATTACGAGCGGTGCAAATAAAATATCAAAGGGTGTTTGAGGAAACTTATTGAAATATTATAAACACATTTATCAACAGTGACATCTTGAGGGTTTCTATGTTTGGAGTTTCAATGACCTTGGACTAACCAATCAATCACCGGAAATGACTTGTACATCAGAACCGGTGACTGCGTACTAATTCATATGCTCATGGCGTGTTAGTCCCGATGATAGTCTTCCTGGTTTCCGAGAAGCTACTGAACTGTCCCTCACGAAGTTTTGTAGTTCGGAACAAAGAGAGGAAACAGAAGTTTTCACCTACCGCTTCTAGTAATACATGAACTTCGAAGCTATCAATAACAGTGGTTTGTGTTCAAATTAAACAACAGAAATATATTTCTGTTGATATATCAACAACTGGAACTTAAGTGTCAGTCATATGAAAATAAACACTCTAGGTTTCGATTGAGTCCAGCAATCTAGACTGAAAACAATCCTTTTTGTCTTAATAAAGACACCATATATGTAAGTCACCTTATACTTTCCATACTGGTCTAAAATCGAGTGGAAACTATTCTCTAGTCTTAATAATGGTATTTGTTAACACACTGAACCCTTTCCCAACATCATATTCCATGTTTGTGTCTTCGTAACTTGGTTACCAAACACTTGACGTAAAATGACTCACTCCTTATATCTAGTGGACAACATTATCAAGTAACAGTAGTTTACAAATTCATTGTGTCGTTTCAGCACAAGGACACATGCAATAATTTTGTAGCATGGAAAAACAATTGAGCTCATGATTTTCGGAGTTAAGGAAGAAAGGTCAATCAGCTTCTAATTGTTCAGGTTTTAATCTAGCCAGAAGGTGCATTTTGTGCTGAAGGAGCATTGAGAATAGCGCTAGTGGAGAGACCTGGAAAACGGAATGATGAAGAATTACGTGGCCCGACGACACAGCATCCTTATGAAATGCATTTTTAATAAGGAGAGCGATCAATAATAACCAAAAATAACATAAACTTGACATGAGGATAGTGCTACGGTTGAAAGGAGATGATGAATCCACCAGCTACATCGTAAGACTCGAAATTTATAGCACCGATAAGACTTGATTTCATTTTGAGCGATTTAATATAATGCATTGATAAGTTTGGTTTAACGGAGCATTTCAGCATTTTAACATCTTGTACAATAAATGACTGTTCAAGTATAAATCACGTGATCACTGTTTTGAGCTCTTTTGGAATATATCCTACACAAATCCATCACCGTCCACTAAACAGTTAAACAGTATTACATTACATGCTAATTGATTGTGACATTGCCGATATCCATCGAAGCATCTCAGTTTCTCTTCGTAACCTTTCACAATCTCAGCTCCTCGTCGACGACGCCTTTAAAGCCGCTCTGCATAAGTTGTGTACTGTATTCTACATATTTTTTTCAGCTGGATGACTAAATAACACCATTATAGGGATTATAAATCACTATTTGTCATTATTCCTAAATCATTATAAACTCCAGCCTTTGACAAAGACGTTCTATTTGTTTCTGTGTTTCACAAGCCATCTTTATACCCGTTCGCCTTGATACAATCGTGCCAGAGTCTGCTTCTGATGGCCGTCGACAAGTCGACTCAATCGGGGCACTCAAATCTTTCTATTAGCTCATTCGGTCAGTAAGACTATGCACAGGTCTACTCAAGTGATACCTATGTCCCCGAAATTAGTACTGTTCTACGTTAAAACTGACCGTGTCATCTATACTAAACACGTTGAGTGGCTGGAAGGCCTTTTCATTAGGCTTCATATACCTGTATTGTTCGCCTCAACAACATAATTTTCAGACCGTTCTAGTTCAGTTGTATCATCAAGTATTAGAACAAATTTTTTGGAGCTCTTTATAGATCACTTGAGTAAGACAAAAAAGCAATAGGTTAACGATTATCTGTTTACGAAATCTGCGTCTGATAATTCTGCATAATGAGGAGTACCATTTAATCAAAAGCCACTTCTAATTTTGAGTGAGAAACAACTATTTCTCGAACGTTTGTCAATAGTTTTATTGACTGAAACAAATGTTATGATTATCCAATCACCTCGTGGTTTTAGTGTCGCATCGAACAGCATTTCAATTATTTTGCAATTATGTCCACCTGGCATTCCATAAATCATCCAATAGTGAAAACTTGTGGTTACAACTGAAGAACACATCTAGGTTGTGGATGAAACGATATATTTGATTTGCAAAGGAATAAGTCACAAAGTGAACACTAGTTCATGAACGGACTATGACATACCAACCATGTATTTCCGCATTTACCATTTTCGACGTTCTTAAGGTGTTAAATGTTAAATTTTGAGGATTATTGACTTGATTTAATGTAACTAGTTAATTCATATGATCTTACGACGAAACCACGTCATTGGCCGAAATGATCCGCCATATCTGACGGTCAGCTGCATATATTTAAGGACTTTCGAAGAACAAACTCTGATCTGCTAATGATAACATATGTAATATAAACAGTTATTCTGCCTGCATGGTCGAACTATTTAGTCTCCATGAAGTTTTAGGGTTTACCCTAATTATTTTTTGTCAGTACTCAACGGACAGCACGAGTCCTCTGAAAGTAAGTTCATTTTCAAGAATGGCCTAAGATGATAGTCGAGGTTTATACCATCATCACCATGAAATTTAATGAAATGTGGGTGGCTGTATTTCATCACTCTAGATGCAAAATTAAAGCTTTCGGATCTGCCCTGAGGATACCTAGACCTAGACAACATAAAGACGAAAAATATTCTTACTTTAATATGTAACCACACACAAGAGAAGACCAATGATTAACGATAACACAGGTATTCAGAGTTTTACGATGCTTTTACAAGTAACACCTTTATAATCGAGGTAAGCCAATTCAGACGAATTAGAAGTCGTAAATGAAGTGGTCGGAAGATATATTTGGAAGGCTCCTGATATATTGGGAGGCTTTTAAAATAAGCTAGTCAACAGTTGTAAAGGACATACAGCAAGGTGTAACTACCCGTGGTCTGGTGCTGATGATTGACTGAACACTTTCAGTTAGAAGAATTCAGTAAAATTGTTTAGATCGGCACCAATATCGAAGACCTACAGAACTATTTACTTCGAGGATTCATTCCTTGTAACAGTTTCATGAACATGCTGATATAAAGACTATTCCAAGGCAGTGATGTGGAGCTAGCAACAGTCGAGGTTAGACGGTTCGGTTGGCCAAAAATGTGTTAGTAAAATAAAGTTATTATAGTTAGCATATCCGCTTACTGTAGTATTTCTTGAGGGCACTGCATCCACTATTTTTCTAGATATAATAATAAAATATTTTGGTTAAAGTGGTTGGTGGTCGGGCTTGCCTATTGTGATGAAACTATAGAGCTATACTGATTGAAAAAATCTTTCCTCAAGGTCCTACCATGACAGACAGGTCGGTTGAAAAGCGGTAAGAATAAAAGCAACAAACCCAAGGTCCGTAGGTGAACTCGAACTGCTGACTGTACAGAGGTTTGACGGCAGTAAGGTGTTTCCTTCAAACAACCAGCATGACAGCGATGCTGTCTCCTCACAAAAGGGGGGTGCAGTTAGGAAAGGTCGACCCTAAAAATGCACACCTCGCCTTATCCCACGAATATCCGTATCCGGCGGTAAGGTCTCAACAATTACGGAGCTAACATGAAAATTACTCATAAAAATGTCGTGTGTAGCCAACCACAAGCAGTTGTCCCTTGGGCACTGCGGTCACGCTCTCAGGTCACTATGACCACCTCTAATCCAATTTTCTTTTCAGGTACCTCCAGAAGAAGAACCCTTCCACGGTGTGGGCAAACTGGAAGTGACAACCGCCCTCACATCTCCAACAGCACTGAAAACCTCTTTCTTCAGTCCCTATTATTCCTCCTACGTCAACTTTCAACACTAAACTTCCTCTTTTGGCTTCCTCCTCAAGTATCACCATGGCCAATCATTCTAGTGAGCAGAACACTGTCCCAAGTCTACTGAAACTACACTTTGGGGACTTCAACGTACGTACCATATGTCAAATCGACCAGCAGTCCTCCTTGGCTGAGACTCTAGAATCTGTACTTCCTAAACACGCGTACAGGATCTTAGTGTGGTCATTCACTTGAACTCACCTAGCCAAAACGAAGAGATACACCCTCCATGTATCTGGAGACCCGATGGCTAGTTCTCGTGGACTGGCAGGTGTAGGCATAGCACTAAGCATGAGGGCAGAACAAGCGCTATTAGAGTGGATCTCCATGAACAGTCACCTATCATCCCAACATATGTGAGAGAGACAAAATCATCCTGTGATAGCCATAGAGGGATTATTTTGACTAATCCAGCATCTAAAATACTAGCCTTGATAATTATCGGACGCCTAACTAAGACTCGTGAACTGCAAACACGTGAAAATCAGGCTGGCTTCAGACCTGGTCGTGGCTGCATCGACCACATATTCACCATTCGTCAGGTTCTAGAACACAGGCATACTTATCGGCGTCCGACAATAATGGTCTTCCTTGACTTAAAAGCAGCATTTGACTCTGTGGACCGAGAGGTTCTGTGGCAGTGTCTGTCATTGAAAGGCGTACCTCAGAAGTACATAAACCTTGTGAAGGCTCTTTACTCGAACACTACTAGTCGATTCAGAGCTTATGGCGAACTGTCATCTGCTTTTGCAACCTCAAGTGGCGTCCGCCAAGGCTGTCCACTTTCTCCATTTTTGTTCAACTTCATCATAGATCTACTGATGGAAATAACGCTCTCATCGACTGAATTCTCAAGTATTGATTTCCTTCCAGGAGGTCCACTTATCGACTTAGAATACTCAGATGATATGGTCCTGTTTGGTTAAGACGCTGATAAAATGCAGAGTCTTTTGGTAGCACTGAGCAACAATGCAAGAATGTTCGGGATGCGCTTCTCTCCTTCCAAATGCAAGTTGTTGCTTCAGGACTGGTCTACGTCAACACCTGAACTAAGGATAGGGGTGAAGTAGTCGAACGCGTTGAGAACTTCCCTTATCTTGGAAGTCTGATCAGCCCTAATGGATTGGTGTCCGACGAAATCTCAGCACGGATTCGAAAAGCTCGCTTGGCCTTTGTCAACTTACGTCATCTATGGCGCAGGCGAGATATCCGTCTATCAATTAAGGGACGAGTATACTGCGCGGCAGTTCGTTCCATTCTACGATACGGCTGCGAAACATGGCCTTTAAGAGTAGAAGATACTCGTAAGTTATTAATATTTGACCACAAATGCCTTAGAAATATTGCGGGTATCTGCTGGGATCACCGGGTAAGTAATAGTGAGGTTAGACGCAGGGTGTTAGGGAATGATGGTAAATCAGTTGATGAGGTTATGAATCTTCATCGACTGAGATGGTTGGGCCACGTGTTGCGTATGTCTGGACACCGATTACCACGACGCACAATGCTAACCGGTGTTAGGGATGATTGGAAGAAAGTTAGGGGCGGCCAAACCAAAACGTGGCATCAGTGCTTGAAGTCACTAACTTCTGGTCTGAGCCATGTTGGTAGATGCAGACTACCTGGTTGGGGTCCGCGTGACTATCGTAACCAATGGTTGGAGACTCTTGGTGACATGGCTCAGAATCGATCACAGTGGCGTCGGTGTATACACTCTCTGTCTTCCTTTAAACT